AGATCCGGGCTTCAACGATTTCAGCTGGAGGCGGTTCCGAGACAACTGGACAGAAGGGGCAGGTGTTCTAATGCCGAGAATAGATATTATCATATATATATATATACATATACCCCGTGTTTCGAACAACCAAGACTAGACAGAAAAGGAAATTGAGATCCAACCCATTCTACAGGAAAATAATGGAAAATAGATGACAGAGAGACTGAGGTGTGACACAGCTTGACGAGTTACGTTTCGGCGTTTGAATGTGTTGGGGGCTTCTGTTGCGTCGCAACATATCCAACCGCCTGTGGGGAATTGTTGAAGAATTGCAAGCCCAGGATCCCCAGGTTACTTTCCCAAGATCGTCCGGGAGAAGATTGCGGAAAGCGGATTGATGCATTGATGCCTCATGCCTGCTACTTACAAGAAGTATTTGTGTGAATAGGACGGCAGCTGGCATTTACTTTGAAGCCATGTAATCTCCCGCTGACGTTGCTTGCGTTAGCTATTACCTGTTGGACAAGGAGAATTTGCATTGCCAGATGAAACATACGATCAGAGGGTGGTTTCATGCTCTTGCTACCCTTTATAAATAATATAAATATTGTTTGGGTCCAGCATGGAAGACCCTGACGTACCCTGACATGTAAACAGCAACGGGATGACGTCATGACCTCACTGGAATCATGGCCGGTTTTTGGGGAAATCATCCCAAATGGCCGAACAGTTCAAGATAGTGAAATGACTATTTATCAGCTTACTATCAAATGGCTTAGTTCAATAGTTCAAGATTTACCAAGAAACCTGGCAAGCTGGACCATCCATCATTTATAGTTGATTCAATCCATCATTGATGCTCATTGATTTCCCATTCATACCTCCATAGATGATTACGCATGGACATGTTTGAGGACAGCTAAAGCGGGCAGAATCAGATGTTCCACCTCGGCTTGGTCAGCCACGCGGCATTTTATCAACATCCATTGGTATACACTAACAAGATCCGCAAAATGAGGCCATAATATATGAGATGGGAAGAATCCATCATTAATTTTCCCATTTATGTTGAACCAGCAGATAATGATGAGAACAACATTTAGTGAAACATGTATGATCATATTTGCTGGATTGCTGGTGCATAGATCATATATCTCAGGTACAGATGCAAAGGTACCCTACATGAACAGAAATTGTGGGGTGGATCGCCGATGGCCGCCATTGTCGATTGCATTCTGATGGTCGCAGAGTAGATTCAGGTGAAGGGGCCGGGGCATGGGGCTGGGCCAAAGATGCCGGTTCTGCAGCCTCTACAAGGCATTTGTCCATGGTGTACGCTCACTAAATGATACTAAATGAAGAGAAAGAAAGATAATGATAGAGAGAGAGAGAGATAGACGGAGAGATACATTAAATCATTGATATATGATCATTGGGATTGTATATATATATAATATATAATGATCATTGGCCATCATATATATTATATCCCATTTAAATCTATTCTTGATATGTGTGGCCAAGAGGGACCTATGGCTAATGAGAGCGGTCCACCATGTTCCACCACAATTTGTGCGGCACGCGACTGGAGGTCCACCAGGAGGCTGCCTGCAATTCATGTAGGTCCTGTTGGTTTACCATATGGATTGATGGTTGAAATCCTAGCCTCATAGAAATTGTATGAAATTGTGATTTTGATTTAAAAAAAATGGGGGTCTTGGAACTCATCAAATATGAATTTACTACCAGTACCGCACAAGGCAGTGGCGGAAGTTTCAGAATAAGGAAACCTATAGGAGAGCTTGGTTGTTGTGAATCACGAACGGCAGAGCGAATCCATGGATGGACCGAAAGGTGGCTGGAGTTGTCTTTTTGTAGTGGCTGCAATGGTTGCAGTGGTCACCTGGTCGGTCACCTCACCCACAACTGCTGGATGTAGTGTGGTGTAGTGCAGCTGTAGTTGCAGTTGCATTTGTGGTGGTGTAATGAATGTAGTGTACTGTAATGTAGGGTAGTGTAGTGTCGTATAGTGATGCTTGAGTGTGATGTAGTATAAAGCAGTGTAGTTGTAGTTGTAGCTGTAGTTGTACTTGTAGTTAGTGTAGTGTAGTGTAGTGTAGTGGAATGTGGGGTAGTGTGGTGTAGTGTAGTGTAATGTAATTAATCTAGTGTAGTGTAGTGTTGTGTAGTGTTATGTAGTGTAGTTGTAGTTCTAGTTGTGGTTGTAGTCGTGGCTAGTGGAGTGGAGTGGAGTTGAGTGTAGTGTAATTAGTGTAGTGTAATGTAGTGTAGTTGTAGTTGAAGTTGTACTTGTAGTTTAGTGTAGTGTAATTGAGTGTAGTGTAGTGTAGTGTAGTGTAGTGTAGTGTAGTCAAGTGGAGTGTAGTGTCGTGCAGTGTAATTAGTGTAGTGTAGTTGCATTGTAGTCGTAGTTGTAGTTCTAGTTGTAGCTGTCCCTGAAAATCATTGCTTTACGACCGCTATATCGGTGACTGTCAGGAATTGCCTCGCCCCAGATGCGGATTCTGGCCGCGCTGAGCTGCTCCATTCCGTGCCGTGGTCGTTTGGTCGTTTCCGTGATTTGATGTCAATGGGATGGCATAAATCATAAGAAGGCGGGTATATTGCGAGATATTTTGCACAGAAATAAATTATATAAATAAATATATATATATATTTATTTATTTATTTCATTTTATATATTCAACAATATGATATTGTATGGTATTGGGTTTGTCCAAAAGTGGGATGTGCCCCAAACTGCTACTGATTTCGCCTGATCAAACTGGCCGTATGTCGAGACCCATTTGCGGATTCGAGTTGCAGATGTGCCAATGATCTCAAAAGGATTCAGAAGGGGCCAACCATTGGCCTGGTATGCATGGGAATAGTGGAAGACAATGGAATACATTTATATAAGCCACAAAATATATGATCCAGAGGCTCCACACCTAAGTACATATTGTGTTTTGTTCTTTGTTTGCATGCATTATTATTGTGTTGATATATTGATATTATGGTTATTCGTATTTTGGTTGTTGCCATTGCATTCTCATTTTGGGGTTAATTTATATAGTTATAATACACGTTTGTTTTTTTTTCAATATGCACGCATTTTCCGCCATAGATGTTAGGCCATCTAGGCCTACCTTCTCCATGCACAGTTTTTGGCGCATCGCACGGCACCAGGTGCGTGCTTGGGCTGAAACCCTTGGAAGCTCAAAGCCGAAAGTCCTTTTGCAACACTGAGACTTGGTTCTGTTGATTTTTCGGCCGGAATGCTATGGGCAAGGCCAGAGATGTTTGGTAACAGTTTGCTATAACCGTTTATATCTCAAGTTACCAAGGGATACCAAGGGGCATATTTCAGGATCCAAGTGAGTTTGCTTGAAAACAGGGCGTCCCTAAATCCACAGTTTAGTCAATAATCAATTAATCATAATTTTCCAAGTTAAAATAATAATTTTAATTCAGGTCCATTCAGCGTTTCCCCCATTTTCAAAATTAGATTACTTCAGTAGTTCTATAAGTTCATGTTTCTTTCAATCTTGGGCGTGACCAATGCTGACCCATTCCCCTATATAGGCCCTACTAGTATAGTGTGTGGCCTCACAAGTCATCGCCCACCATCTGTGCGGAACATGTTGGTCATCCGCCCGTGTGCAGGATCAAGCTTGGGGGACAAACAACATATACAAAGCAAAACACTTGGTGGAAACTGTTGAAACATGTCTACATTTAGAGGGCCTTGAAGCCAGTTCAGCCATCTATGCCTCCAAAGTCAAACATAGCCAAACCGAAGTTGCTTCTGTCCTGGGTACAGAACAGGCTTCAAGAGCACATGAGCCATGGAACGAACACATGTTTTCCGCGCAAATGTATGCAAGTGTCTGGAACATGTCAAGCAAATCAGCCTCCCAAGGAGTGTTCACCCAGGAGTGACATGGTCAGTTTGGAAGTTCCAGTTCCAGCTATTTCAGCTATTTATTTTTTGGCTCGTCGGCTGATCGGCGTTGGTAATTCCATCGCGGCAGGCCTCTGTGCGAACATTCCTTTTTCGAAAGATAGACCAGGTGTTTGAAGGAGCTTGAAAACATCGTGTAATAGGCTTTCAACACTGGTTTTCACCCAATCACGGCCTTGAGCGCTAAGCTTTCAAAGATTGGGATGATGTGGCAACCCTGCCAACCTGTAATGCTTGGATTATCTTGGGTTAATCTCGCCATGATTGGACAATAGCGCCATGAAATCCACTAAATTCCTCAGCCTTTCCCATTGGATGGGTTTGAAACATGTCGAAACCACCGAAAGAATGGCCACACAAAGCAGAGTCTCGGTATGTCTCGGTTTCCCGGATTTTTTGGGGTTGGCATCTTCAAAGAAGACGAGCCGATCGCTCCATGGGGCTGGGCACATCACGTTGCAGGCATCATCCCAGCAGGGGCTGACACTGTGAGTTTTGGCGATGGAAAATCACAGGAAGAAGTCCCATAGGATATCATTATATATATATGTACATGTTTATCATAATAATAGCGATACTCGTAATAATAATTAACAATAATTAATAATAATGATGATGACCATAAGTATAATGATATATAAATATATATAGTGTATATATTTATATTCATATGCTATATATGTATTTAATTAACGCATATTAAAGGTCCTTTGGTGTCAAAATGATCAGAATGGAATGGGGGTGCAAATGTTCCAGTTCAAAGGACGCTTTAATCAGATGGGAAGGAAGATATAGGGAGCCCAAATGACGACGACCTTGAGAACCCAGGAGAATTGCACCAACAAGAATGATGATAATAATGCAATGTGTCGGCCGCCCATGTGGGAAACTTATCTATACCATCTATCAAAGCGAATGCTAGAATGCCATTCCTGCCTTCATTCCACCCCATTCTTAGCATGTTTCATGTTGAACTCCAAGTGTGATGATTTAGGGACTGCTAAAAGTACGCCACTCCATGGCCTCAAAAATTCACCAATCATTTGGTACCTGCCGTGGCATGGCCGTGGCCGTGGCAGGCCGTATCTTTTCAGCGACGATCTCTATGTCGACGATGGTCGTTTCATCGATTCCACGTTTCCACCGCTGGAGTCCTCGCTGGGTGAGGCGAAAGCCGGTCGTCTCTTCATCACCCAGGTCAGTCAACGGGATCTCTGATGGATGACATTCGAAAAATGGAACGCATACTCCAACTTTTGATCATGGCACATACACACATACCGTATGCATATATATATACTTTATACATCTATCTATTTGTTTGTCTCTCTGTTTTTCTGTTTTTTCTGTCTATCTATCTATCTATCTATCCATCTATCTATCTATCTATCTATCCATCTATCTATCTATCTATCTACCTACCCTATCTATCTATCTATCGATCTATCTATCTATCTATCTATCTATCTGTTTGTCTGTTTGTCTGTTTGTCTGTCTGTCTGTCTGTCTGTTTGTCTGTCTGGGGGTTTACCAGATAAATCATTGATCATCATGGTGCATCAAGTTTTGGATATTGTTTTTGAAAGATGCGGTGGACGCAACGGTTGCAGGATCAGCGCGCCAAGACACGATGGATTCGCCTGCCAGAGCTGCTACATTTTAACCAGGTGACCTGGCCCGTCGCCTAAATCATAGAACGCCATCATTATGCCATCCATCGTGTATTATGATGTATTTTGTCATTTGATGATATAATGTACTACATATGTACTAATTATGATATTCATTTTTGGGGCCATCCTGTCCTCAACCACTTGGGGTTTGGAATGTTGCACGCAAATCCACGACATGAAGATAGGGTTGGCAAAGACCGGTTTGGCCTGCGCAAAGGAAAGGAAAAGTAGGCACAATGTCACAATCTTTGCCTGATGGTAGTATCTCATTTTTTTTTAATTCAGATGTAGCCAAGTACAGTAGCACAGTGAGTTGTAAGCTTGCAATGGTGCTCGGAATCCCCAGATGAACAAGGTTTGCTTACTTTCTGTTAGCTTTGAGAATCCCGACGGATAGTTACCCAGTTTCTGTGGGTTTCACTCGTCACTCCCAGTTTGATTCTTTGAGGATATGGTTATGATTGATTTCCCCTTCTTTGGTTCAAGAATTAAGATGCACGCTCCAGTAGTTAATCCCGGATAAATATCCGTGTGATTCCATGCGTATCATTTAATTACCACCATGAAAATTGTGCTTTTCCGAGATCTGCAGCCTTCATCCCAGTCAATAGCTCTTTGCAGATATAGTCATTTTCAGCAGGATCTTATCATTGAATCTTCCTGCTGTTATGGCACCAGAAAAGAGCAAGCAGGCCAGCCAAATCGAACATCAAACACTCAACTATTGTTGGAGGGAGAGTATCTTTCGGTAATCTACCACGGCCAATGAAGAAAAACATACTGTATCAATTTCTACATGATCTAAATTACCTATTATTTCTACAGCCAGTTTCAAGATGTTTTGTTTTGCAAACTGCTGGATAGCCAGCGGATAAATCATCTTCAACATCTCAAGTGTTGTTGGATGCCCAGAGCCATGGTGCCATAGTGCCATGTTTTCCTCAGGAAATCACCCCAGAAGAGATGGCCCAACGGAACCGCTCAGCGTTGGTGTGGCAAGGTCATGGGCGTTCCCATGACCGTCCGTGTGTAGTAAATCCAATGATCAATTTGGAGATGGACGGTTGGATGTGTTTCATAATATATATATATATATATTCATTAGGTCAAGCAAAAGCACATGTCACATTACATGATAGTATATGTCTATGTCAAGAATTAGGGGATCTCACATCGTGAAATCAGAATGCGGCAAGTCTATCCCATTTTAGAATGACCCATCAAGAATCCATCAAACATCATATAATTATATTTATTATCATTAAACCCACCGAAGAAGTCAACATAAAACACACCTTTGCTCAAGATAAGACTATGGTTGATGGATTATTGATGGATTATTTGGTGGATTATTTGGTGGATTATTGATGACAAGACGTTTGGCCTTTGCTCAAGACTGCTTCTTTCACCAAGCCCTCGCGCCGCGGCTTACAACGCGGCCATGGCGTTGTCCCAGGCCGGGATGACCGGGATGACCGGGTCGAGGGGTTGGGGACCCCCAACCGGGAATTTGTTCCTTAATAGCTATTGAATCTGGTTAATCTATGGTTAATCTATGGTTAATCTATGGTTAATCTATGGTTAGTCTATGGTTAATAATGAGAATAACAATATATACTGGTTGGTGGTTTGGAACATGATTTTTATGACTTTCCATACATTGGGAATAATCATATATAATCATCCCAACTGACGAACTCATATTTTTCAGAGGGGTTGAAACCACCAACCAGTACATATGTATATATATATACAGTATGCTGATGTATTTTGAAGGACGACAATGATAATAATTAACAACAATAAATTAGTAATAATAATCTAATGGTAATAGCGATGATAAATTGATAAATTGATAAATGATAATAATCTATGTGCTTTAAATTTTATGTATACATGAAATTAGTTATTGCACACCGTTTATATTGCGTTTGTATATTAAACTTTAATATAGATACATCAAGAATCAGCCGATCATTTCAGAGATGTTGACTTGACATGAGGGGGGCATCACAAATCTTTCGCTGGACTCAGCCCAAGATTTGGGCGGTATATATATATATGGTACATTATATATATATACATCCCACACAATCCGCGGTGGATTATAGATTATTGTTGAAACGTATTTGGGTAATTATTTTCCTTTAACGCAACAACAAGACCGTTTTTGCCAGGAAATCCGAGGTTGGCCACAGCCAATATGGATAGAGGATTACCAGTCAAAGGTCGGAAAGCACAGCTGCGTCAAACCACCGGCTGTCGCCGTGGCTGCAGGCGCCCTTTTATTTCTTTGCTGGCGTTGCTCTGATCTTTGCAGGGAACAAGCTTGGAGACTGGGCCAAAATTATGTCTTTCAACCCCCACAAGAAGTGATATATTTGGTGTATATAAATATATGCGTATTATGTATATATATATATATATATGTGTGTGTGTAAATATATTATATTATTTTTATTGTTATTATTATTCTTGATTATTATATATTCACCAGGTGATTCAATATTTGGGATATGAAAGTTAATTCTCTGGTTTTATGTCACAGCACTGGGATTGACATTTAATTGTGCAGGCTCGACATCTGTGATTTCGGCCAGGAACAGGATGATCACTCATCAGGTACCAGATATGGCTGTTGAAACTTATTGCAACATATTTTAACCACATTTTTTGGTGGGATGAACATCACTTGGCCAATTAACCAGCTAGTTTGCCAGGTTTTGGACATATTTTTGACTTGTAAATATCTAGCTATATCCCATATATCCCACAAAAAGATACAAAAAAAAAACTGAATTTTGTGACTTTGTGCTGTTGGAGGATCTTTTTCCCTGGAGGGCTCCCCTTTGGACCTCTTCGGAGACCGGGATGCGGAACGTGCTGCTCCAGATGCCACTGCCTGGGACACCTTGACGCAGATTCTGAAAGGATGGGAGTTCACCAGCGAATACGCAGCAGCTCGGGTCTGATGTCTCTCTTTGTGGGTCAATCTCCAGCATTTGGGAAATCCGCTGGGATTTTTGGTGTTTTTTTTGGGTTGGTTCTGTTTGGGTCTTGAAGCAAATCTGAGGTGGTGGTGGGTGACAACCGTGGCCGGCTCTTTACTTATGAAGGTGGAAACTCGGCAAAGTGAAGTTTTTGTTCCATGTCTTGGGGAGTGGGTGAAAGGTCTAATTGATTTTCATTGCATGGTTCTTATTTTTTGCGTTGGAATCGAAAACCCTATGTAGGTAAGATAATCGGGTGATTTGCATTGCCAGTGTTTTATTGGAGTCACGGAATCATCCAAAACCATTGGAACATATCAACCCACAAAAAACGGATGGTTCAAGAATGTTCAAGAATGTTTATATATATATATATATTATGTTTATATATATAATAGATTAATTTCAATTTATCAGTGTTTCCTCTTAGGTCTTGCGGTGGCAGGCTGGATGAATTGTAGCCATGCACTTAGACTTTGAATTATGTTTACTCTTTTGGTGTAAAATTTCACGGATTTACACTATCAAAACTCCATAGGAGCTCTCCACGTTAGCAGGGGAGCAACAAAACACCAAGCACATCCCTTTATGATTGTTGCTTAACCCACTGTCTCCAGTATATACCAATGTCATCCCCAATGATCATCACCTAAAATAATAGACCACTTACACTGTAGCAGGGAAGAAAGTTAAATCACCAAATATCACCAAATAAAAATAACAATTGTGGATCAATACCCCCAGTAAATCAATGATACCCAGATTGTTGGTGCAACCCCAAAACAACTGGGGGGAAACCTGGAAATATGAAGTACATATCATCGAACTGCCATCCTGGAAACACTGTTCGGCATCGTTTTTGGGGTTACTATACTGGGAAGCCATGGCCCCTTGGGTCATTGGGTCGACTGCTATGGAAGCCATGGCCCATGGCTAGCGCGATTTTAGCTATTGAAAATGATGATTTTGCCATGAAATTTCTGGAACATGAGATTTTTGCATGACACATAGCCAGTTGTAATTAAAGATAGCTGTGGAACATGGCCCATTTATAGATGATTTACCTCTCAAAAAAGGGTGAGTGTCATCGATTTTCAACGGCTATATGTTAGATTTCCAGCACATAAATCCCAGAAAATCCTGCTAAATCCCATCAAACCACCATTCTGACGGCTAAAACAATTATGAAAACCCCATGATATCTGCAATTGGCTCAGGAAACTTCACCTTAAAGACTAAGATCCCCACGGGCAGCACCAGCAAGTGGCCGTCCGCCATGATGTTCGCGGGCCTGGTGCACGATGGAACCGTGCCTTGCTCGGAGATCAAGAAAGATGGTGATGTCATGGGAGATTCATCTGCTTTTCATAGTGAATAGGAGGATTTTATGTGTATTGATTTAATGGAATAATATAACCCATAGGATCCATGGTGCTGCTATATATGATAATATATGGTAACATTTACCATCAATATACCCCAAATGTTAGCATATATACCATACATGGATCCTATAGGTAATAGAAGCATTGATCGGGATACTGATAAGATTTATATAATTTATGATGTATTAATGTATTAGTAGATATTAGTAGTGGTGAAACTGGTAACTGGATGTCCATTGGGTTTTGATAGAGGGTCAATTGGATTTTAATAGGATCTTAACAGGGGGCTAATTGGATTTTAACGTGACTTTAATGGGGGCTCAACAGGATTTCAATGGGATTCCAACAAGGATTTTCAATTGAAAATTCATAGGGATTCAAGGAAGAAACATGGTGATTTAATGGGATATTCCAATTGGGACAATTGGGTATATAATCAACAGTATTGAACTTTGGATGCTCAAATTTGGGTATACGGCATACACTTTATAAATGCAATGTCTATACGTGATGCATTGGATTTTTGCGAACGCTACGAATTTCAGAGAAATGCTATAACAGGGCGGATATAACGGTTTTGAACCATCAAATTTAGAGAAGAGATCCAATTAATTAATAATTAATTATAATTAGTCCTATATTTATGAGTTGGAATTTGGTGCCATTTCCAGAGGTATCGCTTTTGGACTTGGCTCAAGGATGGTGACGGACGGTGTTGTGGACATCCATGGGAATCCCTTAAATGGCCCTTAATGATAACAGCTTTTTTCAGGCGAAGTGCTACGCAATAAGCATAATTCAGCCAAAAACCATGATTTCCTTGAGAAATGGCAATTTTTTTGGGATTTTTTTCCAGCTTTTCAGCTGCATAGCAGGTGAGTTCACTGGACGATCCAGTGAACAAATACCTGGATTGGTGGACCAAAGATCCAAGTGACCTCCGATCCACGGCCGCTGGGCTGGGAAGAATTCGAGGTTTAGGCAATGTTGGTGCTATCTTTTTGGGAAAATTGGCGGCAATTTCACGATGCTTATTCCACTATCGCTAGCTGTATTTCTCTGCATGTTTTTTGCAAATTCGTTGCTATACACCTAGATGTTCAATTTATAATTTGCGCAGGGATTGTATGGAGTTCAATGGCCAGTTATAATGAAATTGGAGTGCTATTATACGTTTTTGGATAATGTGAGGAAACTAAATTTTCCAGACACTTGTATAATGTCAATGTATTAACGCGGGATTTACACACGCCGAGTTTACTAATAGTGAGTACCGATTTGAAACAGAATGTGCCATTGGTGGGGCACCACTTTTGAATCAACAGAGTTTTTTTTTAAACATGGGGCTAACATTTGAATAGCATATAAGTTAAGTTATATAAGTCCCATTCAATCCCCATGAATTCCATTCTTCATTCCCTTGCTGGCTGGTTTTTTATCGCCGTGCGGGGGTGAGATCCTCAGGGGCCCAGGGCGGCGCCCGTAGCTGGTTCCCCTCCACAAGGGCACCTTCCAAAAAGCTGGGATAAGCCATTTTAGCAAATATCTTATTATTCCCATGAGATCCCCTTATTCATTGATGATTATCATCCCTATATAGGATATATATATATATATCCTATAGCAGTGAATTAATCAAGATCGATTGATAATATTAAACAATACAGATAATCTTTTTAGGAATATCAATCAATTAATTAATCCATTTCATGTTAAATAATCATAATCAATGATGATATTCCAATGAGATCCCCATGAATTGATCATTATCATCCCCATATCCCCATATATGTTGTCTATATGACCATGATCATTTCCGTGATTTTCACATGATACCCATCAGATAGTTAATTCCCTTCCTTCTTCCACTTCCTTCAAACTCAGGGGTTGTAACTGACGCTAGTATAGTCATTACTTTTGCCCATAAACCCTACGTTCTTGGCACTTGTAGTTATAAACTTACTTAACAATTCAATCCGATCAAAATTCCATGACAACATATTTATAAACTTCCATTTTTCCCCACCTGCCAGGTGAGGGTTGTTAGATTTTATCAGAGCGCTCTTCCTCCGCGTCCTCGTCCTCCTCCTCCTCCTCCTCCTCGACTAGCTGTCCTCTTCCTCCTCGTCCTCCTCCTCGCCTCCTCCTCCAGTTTCTCCTCGACCATGTCTGCATCAACTTCCACCTGCACTTCCGCCTTGCCAACTCTTCGCCCAGCTCTTTGCCAACTCTCTTCGCCGACTCTCTGCGCCAAGCTCTTTGCCAACTTCCCAGCTCAGTGTGCACCGCTGGACCTCAACCTGGGACCGTTCCAGCTCAGTGTGCACCGCTGGACCTCAACCTGGGATCTGCCCAGCTCAGTGTGCACCTCTGGACCTCAACCGGGGACCTGCCCAGCTCAGTGTGCACTGCTGGACCTCAACCTGGGACCTGCCCAGCTCAGTGTGCACCGCTGGACCTGAACGGCCAGATAGAATGCCAGAAGATATGCCAGATAGAATGCCAGAAGATATGCCAGATAGAATGCCAGAAGATATGCCAGATAAAATGGCAGAAGGTATGCCAGATAGAATGTCAGATAGAATGCCAGATAAAGTATCAGAAGATATGCCAGATAGAATGCCAGAAGATTTGCCAGATAGAATGCCAGAAGGTATGCCAGATAAAGTGCCAGAATGTTTGCCAGATAGAATGCCAGAAGGTTTTCCAGATAGGATGTCAGAAAATATGCCAAAAGATATGCCAGATAGAATGCCAGAAGATATGCCAGAACATATGCCAGTTAGAGTGCCAGAAGATATGCCATATAGAATGCCAGAAAATATGTCAGATAGAATGCCAGAAGATTTGCTAGTAACAAAATGATACAAAATGTATAAATGTCATGGTGGGGATCACACGAAGTAAAGTAATTTTAATCATGATCCCACTAACCTTCGCCATCCCATTCACCTTAGCCAGTTAGATTATCCCCCCATGTTCCCCCCATGTTTTCGCAATTTTTGCTGGTCACCAGGTCACCTTTCGGATGCTGTTGACCTTCACCAGCGGCTTCGGGGGCGGCCACCCCGGCGAGGAGCCCAACACCCGGGCGGCGCGCCGCTGGCGCCAGGAGCACCTGGGCGACGCCGCGGCGGTGCAGCGCCGTGCCGTGGCAGCACCGGGGGAAAGAAACGGAAAACGATGCCTTTCCCCGGCAACCAATGGAGAACACCCATGGAAAACGCATGGAAAATCTATGGAAAATCCACGGAAATGCAGATTTTGGCAGCAAAGAATTATGCAAAAATCTGGGAAAACCCAAGTTCAGCCGCAAAACTGAACATACTTTACGTGATTTTTTGCCGGTGCAAATTGAGAACAAGCAAGGTCTTCACCGGCGAAATGGAAGAACATGGAAAATATGTGGAATTTGGCAGAAAAAGTGAAGGATTGAAGAGCCACCCCTTGTGTTTATAAGTGTGATTTAACGGGCAAAAATGTCAAGAATGGTGATACAGCGATACGGAGAGAAAGAGAGAGGTGTTTGGACAGCGATTTAAAAAGAAATGGAAAAACAGGAACGTAGCCTGGATTTTTTTAAAGCACAAAGACCAGTGATTTAACTGGCTAACATTGTGACTTGAGATGGACCAAGTATAATTATAAATATATATAACTCGAGATGATTCAAGTACCAATCTAATGCTAGTACCGATGCAATCTGCTGTAGTCAATGCAAAATACCTGCAGAATATGATGATGCACTCCTTGATATTTCTGAAGTTAAAGATGGCGCCGGAGCATTCCAAAGCAGGAACTTACTTTCTTTTTGCATATATATATATATATGTACTGGGACTGTCTTATACGCATATACATATATAACTTGCTACATCATGTGTAGGGCAGGGACGACCCTTTGATACCCAGTACCGACATTCTTTCGACATGTCGGCAAGGTTTGGAAGCCAAACCCTGCGACAAAAAGTCGGGTGATGTGGTGAGCTGTGCCAAAAGCATCTACGAAAATGTGAAACTCGTTGGGACGCTTGGCTTCAGCAAAGTGTCCAAAGCGCCCAGCCATTTTCGGTTGATAGCCACCACGCCAACAAAAACAAACATTGGACTCATTGGGACACCTGAAAATTGTGAGTTATCAGTAGCATGTATGAAATTCTACAAAAAAAAGTTCTATTTTTGGAGAACCCCTCTGCACTTGGATGAATGTGCAATGGTTTAAACCATGTTCAAACAATTGTAATTATGACATGTGCAATTTCACCCATTTTCAGAAATTTGGCATGAGCATTCCGCCGGTAAGGGTCTTGTATTGCCATTACACCAGAGGAGTCCCATGATGGTGGGATGACCATAGCCCACAAACGGTACACCATTTAACTTGCCATTCACAAAATGGGATGTTGTGGGTGCCACTATGGCTGATGCTACATGTTTGAAACAGTTTTGGCCAAAGATGTTTGTGTATACTGTATATATATATATATATATATTTGAAATACCCTCTGGTTATTTAACATAGACATGGAAAATGACCCATTTATAGATGGTTTACCTGGGTTTACCTATTAAAGCTGGTGATTTTCCATGGCTAATTACTGTATTTCAATCGAACATGGATGAACCCTGGGATTTGGGCACCCTATGTTGACTGGACCCAGGAAAATGACCGTTTAGACAAAAACAGATCTGTAAAGCCAAAGAACAAGCACCGCTTGCCGTATGCATGCTCTTGCTGTTTGCTGTTAGCTATGATATATGATATATGTTTTTGTTTTTTTGGTTGGTTTTTGCCAAACAGTCTTTGACACATTCCATGATTTCTTTACACACATAGAGAGAGAGAGAAAGAAAATAACAAATAAAAATAATGGAAGATGCATGTGAACAAATGATCATCACCACAAATTCCGTACGCCACGATGACCATGGGTACATCACCAAAAATCTCAGATCTGGGCATTATGTAAATATGCAACAAATGTGTTTGCCATGGTTGTTCACATTCCTCTCATCCTGTATGGTTAGTTGCTGTGTTGGGTTGGCTATTGGCTATTGGCGTGCTTGGAGTCCAAACCTAAAATTAGGGTTGCTCCAACCTTTTACAGGTAATTACACCGTAACAAAAGGGTACATGTGTAATGCTACCAACGCATTTCCTTACCCAATTAACATTTGTACCCGGGATGTTGGGAGCAACCCGGAAAATGGAAGGCAATGAAGGCATGATCACGCAGTAATGTAGCAAACTATAGGATATGTATGATGTCTTCTTGGACCCCAAATCAGCAAAAGGGTTTGTCAGGGTTTGTCCAAAAATACGCCACTGTACCCCAAAAGACCCAGTTTGTTTGGGTGGCCACCACCCCCACCTCAGTTCCATATGATTCGCAATTTGACTTGATGAGTTGAAACAGCAACTGTACCCTCCCGGTAAAGATACCCTCCGGCAATAGTTCGCCACGGAAAACACAAGAGGCAAATCCTTATTTGTGCCGATTTATGGGCACAAATCACCATTAGCTATGTTGATTTACGGGAGATGATCGTTCGACAGTTATGGCCCCTTACCAGTTCTAAGTCAATAAGTCACCTCATGAAAACGGTCAGTAAGTCACCCTGTAGAAATAACCATAAAATCAGTGGTATTTCCGGCTTTAACTGCAGATTCCCAGGAAACCAGGCCATCAATTAGTTATAACTCAATGGGATTATACATTCATACTCATTCTATAAATGGATTTGTTAGTACTTCTAACGTCTTATAACTGGTATTTTGGGCCATAACTGCAGGCCCATAGAAATAACCAGGGCTTTAACTGCAGATTTCCCACAGTTGTCGCCCTTTACCAGTTATAAGTCACTTATAACCTATTATAACCCCATTTATAGAATGTATATATAATCCAGAAATAGCCAGTTATATATAACTAACAAATGGCCATAACCGCAGGAAACCAGGGCAAGTCTACTCCTACAACTCCAATCACTTGCAGCTGGCTGCCGCCGTGGCCGTCAGCAGCAGCAAGTTGGACATTCAGCAGGTGGTGTCGCCACATTTTTTCCACCTGCTGAAGGCAAACAATGTTGGAATAATGACTAACAATAACACATATTGACAATCATATTGTAATAATATACTATAATATTTATGACACATTGTTGATATGATTCAATGATGGTTCGTTAGATTGGATATATCCCACTATATATATATATATATATGTGTGTAGTGAATATTTACCATAATTAAGCAATTATTGAATGACCATAGTATGGCAAAAATGGCATATCATAGCAATTATTGACCATCATGTTTATGAAACAATGTTGATCTGATGGTTAGATTTAATATACCCAGCCATAATGGTTAGATTGTTAACAGCTCTTTGGGAAACATTTTTGGATCATCCCAGGAGCTGATGATCATCCACACTGGATGATAGATTCCTTAAAAAATGGTTTGATTTAAAATAACCTACCGATCATCATGGATATATGATTAATATAATGCATGGTTAGATTTGAAATAACAACCCCTACAGTACGGTTTCATTCTAGTATCACTGGCTTATTACCAACTATAGTGGGTAGGTATGGTTAGATGGTTCATAACTATTTGGGAGCATTGGTTCCTCATGGTAATTATGGTTTAGATTTGACAGAACCCCAGCTGCAATAGTCAGATTGTTCATTAGTATCAAACTATTTGGTGGTTAGGGAGCGTTCGGAGCTACGTGTCTGAAACTCAATTCCCTTCTGAAATGTGGTGTCAGTTGGAGCTACGGATTGAGTTTCCCACCGCATGGGAGATTATATGAAGGCAGAAAAGAATTGTAAACATCCCCATTTCTTGGCTAGTCAGGGTGTTTGAGTCCAAAAGACGTAAGGTCTGGTATCCAAAGCGGAGCTTCTGGTTTCGAAGTTGTGCTGTTTGGATAAGGTACCTATCCAATCATGTGCAATTCATGTCCCGACTTTTTGCAGTGCCCCTGCGCCCATTTTGCGCCATCTGTGACGGTTTGGATGGCGGGGTATGATGTCACAAGCATTTGATCTTCAGGGCCCACCGAGCACGTAAACGCAAGAATGAAGCTTAAACGGACCCCGCACCAAGTTGACCCCTAAACATAAACAACTGTAAGCAAGCCTTGTAGCAAGGTACAAAATCAGGTGACTATTTTTTTTACAAAGCTTTTCTATTTGGGGTTGCTGCATGGGCTGTCTGCGACAGGTGATTCAGAAGTACTTGGTTGAAGCTTTTGATATGAGGGAGAGTTCCTATCCAGGACAATGTGGTGACAACTTCAGGTGACTGAAAATGTCATCGTGCTGGAGTTTGATGGAATTTGGACTATGTAATACTACATATATATATATATATATATTATTGTTATTATTATTATTATATTATATATAATTATATACGCATGTATGGCATTTTCCATTTAAACGGGATTATCAAACCACGATGAGGAGCATGGCTGGGGAAAAACATGATAAACTCTTGACATCCAACCAGAGGGAATCTGTTTCAGAATGTGTGCCGTGCCCTTCACACATGGGACATTGAGGGAAGACTCACGTCATCAATCGCTGAAGGCATATCCCATAGTCACCCTTGGCTTATGTACATTATGTATTGTGTATTAGCACTACATATCCCGAAGAAGGCGATGTGTGAGTGAAACTTCTTTGACTTCTTTGTGTGTGTTTGGGTCACGAAAACACCTCCCCATCACTTCAGCTTTCAGCGATTCAAATCGCACAACCATTTGTCGTCAGTCCTTGTCGACGGTCCCGATCCGGCCTCAGGACCCTGCCCGGATTTTGGCACCGACCTTTTCACTACAGGCCGCTTCGGTGGTTGATGGCCGTAGCTGGTTTTTTTGGGCCCCTGGGAGGTAGGACAAGACTGACTTTAACAGAACTTGAATGATGGGTTGATGATGTTGATGGATATTTCGGCTCTAAACTGGGAGATTTCTTTGGAGAGAGACACGAGCCGGTTCTGAAGCATAGCAGCATGGCTGCAAGGCATGTAATTAATCTCATCTCTCGGCTGATATTGCCCATATATGCCACCCTAAGATGAATAGATACAGTGCTAAACATGTTTGTTTGGAATGTACATTGTTATTTAACCTTTGGATGGGATTATCACACAACTCTGGCATCCATTGAAAATCCATGGGAAACTATGGGAAACCGAATCTGCTTCCCCAGCAATCAGGCCTGGACTACGAAAAGTTCATGGCCGGGCTGCTGAGCTACAAGACCTACAGCAAGGAACTCATCGATGCATCGGAGGCAGATGCCACACCATTCCTGAAGGACGCCCAGGTCTTGGACATATCCTGTGTAGAACAAGCCGGGCCAGCCCGGGTACAACTGACCAATAAAATGGGTTGTGAGTGGCTAGTAATTACTCTTAAGATTACTATCCACTGATTTCTTGGTTTTAAAGTTTCACACATAAGTTGATACTGACATATGTTCTGAAATTCAATGGGCCAAGTAGCCAAGCGTATAGGATGTCCTTTGCGTTTTGAGATTGTACCAGCCATCAAGTTATCTCCGAGCCCATGAGATCATAGTCCGAAGGACGACTATACCCTTTATGGCGACTATGCCTTTGGGCACTTCCTCATGTGCTTCGATTCCGTGAAGGGCTTCACCAAGGAATGTCAAGAAGCCCAGTGCCATATGGACCCTGGAGCTTACGGCACCTCGGCCGGAGGATGGGGTTTCTGGAATCCAATCCCATTCCAAAAAATAGCTTTAAACTTTAAAACATGTTATCATTTTTGTTGCCACAATCTGCAAATATCTGCAACCCCCGGGTAAACAAAGGGTAAACCGGGTAAAGTATAACAAAAGCGATTTAAACGTTAGTACTGAGGAACCTCGGAAGCAGATGCCGCAAACGTGTCGAGTCGTAGGCCGGAATTCAGGCAGTTGATTTGTAAACGTACAGACGTGTGAATAATGCGTATATGTTTAATATTGTTTAAACATGTTTAAACTATCGTTTTCTTGTACGTTTAACAATATGAAGAATGTTTATATACATGTGCATAATGTACATATTCAATATACATATCTGCCGCATTTCTTTACATCAAGTATATGAAAAAAAAACCATTAGCTTATATCAGCTTACAGAACGTGAAAGGGAGTTTGAAACATGAAAAATATCCAGCAATGATTGGCCCCAACTGCACATGACAGCAGATTATGATGTCACAATTCCCCATGTCCTCGAAGGCCTATACTATATCCCTAAAATTGGAATCTAATGGTAGCTGGTGTCATTTCAGCATGAGAGCATGCCCCTTGGATGTGTACCATTTGGTATGGTAATCGTGGTGCCGAGTTTCTATCAGGCTTACATATCACAAGACCTCAAATGGGGTCGAAACCTATGGAACCGCATCAATTTACTGGCGAGATGTTCTGTCTTTACCAGGATGCCAGGGTGTTGACGCATGGCCAAAACGGCATTTTTGTAATGTAGTCATGGATGTAGTGATGGATCTTTGGGTTCCCAGTGCCAACCTGACATGCCCAGGCTTCATTCCTTTGTATGACCGAAAGCTGAAGTACTACATGCAGGTCGTGGCTGCAGAGACGCCACCCACAGGCCCATGTCACGGCCAAGGGTCGCCGCTGGGGGCTGCGGTTCAAGCCTTGTCGCTTGATGAGTTGGGTGATAGTGATACCCAATATATTGGGAATTCTCATAATCCATGGGAATCCATAGCAAATGACAAGCAGTATCGCAATTAGACTTCGACTGCCAGTATTTGCCAGACTTGGAGTTAAGACTTAGATTTCGGTATTGTGCCGAGTGAAACACGTATAAAACTCCTGCAGCTGGGATGGATAGAACGGCCAGGAGAAACAAGCTGACCACTGATGGCACCGGAATGGCAGACACTGATCTTGTTTTCCATGTTTTTCCGGCATTTTAAGGAGCCCACACATATTCCCCCCCGTTAATAATTTTAGACTCTAGACTCTGGACTGACTGCGAATGATTTCCATGCGCAGCTTCGGCAATGCTTCGGCTACTTAGTTATTGCATTTGCTTGCAACAGACGAATAAATATTTCTGTATATATACAATTCCCAGGAAGGAATCTGTTCTCATCACATGACCAAATTTTGAACTTCAACCAATTGAATCATTCGATTGGTTGAAGGGAAAATTTAGAGAACACCCCTATATTGGAGGGTCAAGAGTCAAAACCATGGTTTCCTGTAGCTTTTCCGGCTTTTCCCCGCACCAACCCATTGAAGGTATCGAAAGGCCCCGGGCAGGCTTTTACCCCTTGAGTGGCATCCCTGAGTATTTGGCCGTGGCCATCAAACCCCACATCGACGCCATCCTCACTGGACTCTCGTTTGCCAAAGCGCTGCCTGGGAGTCTTTACCGATGCACCAAATCAGGCGACTTCAAAACAACTATTTCAAATAAACTCAATTACATTCAATATATATATATATATTAACATATATTGAATATACATATGTATATTTATATATACGCATACATATATATATATTATATTTATATTACTTGCCAAGTCGCTTATTTAGCTTCCCTTTAGCTCGACTGCTGATCTCCCTGAGATGGAGAGAGCGAACGATAGATTTCTCACTGAGATTCCCCGTTTTTTGGCCACATGTCATCATGTCCCATCGTCCTGAGGTCAAGTGGCTAGCAACCCAATGGAGCAGATGTCGCACAATCCCAAGCTGCTGAGCTGATTCCAAAACACACTTTTACCCTCTTTAAAGTTGGTTTGTTGGCTGGTGAACTTGTAGTATTGGTAGCACTTATAGTACTTGTGGTGCTTCCTTGTAGGACTTCTAGCCCTTGCAGTCCTTGTAGTATTGTTGCTTTCCTTGACAGGTCCCAAGTTGCGTTGATTCTGCTGGCAATTTGAGGTTCTTGACCCTGAGCATGTCTGACGTGAACTATTGCTTGGATTGCAAGCTGCACCCCAAGAATTGCAGCTGAAATTGCGGCCAGAAGAGCTGAAACTGTAGTAGTTGGAGCAGTGTGAGTCTCCGAGGACAGTCGTGGCTTTCAAGGAAAAAACATTGGCCCCTTCCAATCACAGCAAGCACTGAGAACACTGGACATATCTCAGGTGCCAGGACGCATTGCCGCATTGCATGATGTTGAAAAGTATAGCCTTACTATTGGCATTTAGAGTCGGTAGCTCCCATTGATTATACTGGATTATATTGGTTTCCATGTGTCCATGCGGGTTCGAAAGTGCTTAAGCAAGTTCAAATGTCCCTAGACATGGGATGACGATCCTATTTGCCAACTTATGGTCATAGGGCCACCCTAAGTCAACATGACAACATGGATCTACATGGACATGGGTCAATGCCAAAAATAGTGACAGAACTGGGCTTATGAACGCCCCCGGCAAGACCATTCTGTTCATGTTCAGGATGCTCGACAGGGTTACAGGTTTTTTTCTCATCACCTTATGGTTGCAGCAATCCTTTTGTCCTTTCAAATTCCGGCCGCACTTGGATATATGATCCCAGCAGATCCCAGAAGTCTCTTTCCCTTCAGACCGTTTCAGACCTGCGCCGCCGCCTTGCAGGTATGACAGCAGGTGATTTGGCACAAGGACTCTTGAAAACATATCGCTCGGGTTTTGGTGATCGGGACATGGAAACACAGATGTACCAGACAGTAGCATATATTGTAGCAAAATCATTTCGTTGGTGGTTTGGAACATGTTTTATTTTCCATAATATATGGGATAATCCTTCCCAATTGACTTTCATATTTTTCAGAGGGGTGGCTCAACCACCAACCAGTAATGCACGTGCCTTAGCCAGGATAACCAGGGTTTTCAGTTCTTTTTTTATGTAACCTCACGCCACCCAGGCCCCCAACAGATGAAATCTCATCCCAAGAATCCAACTTGGTCCAGCCCATAGTCCCACAGTTATGGCCATTTAATGCCATTGATGAGTTAGAACTTTTTATAAATAGGATTATACATTCTATAAATGGGCTTTTGTTAGTACTTTTGGTTTTTTGGGCCATTTTTCTGCAGTGCTCTGAGGATTCCTTGGGAACTGTTGGCTGGTGGCCAGTATTGCAGCCATCGTGAAGCAACCCACCTGGATCCGGAAGCTCTTCGTGGAAGCCGACTTGGTGGCAGGTGCCGGGGATTTTTCCGAAGTGGAGCTTTCGAGCTGGGAAAATCATCAATCAATTGTGGATTTCCATTGACATGCGTGATTGCCGGACGGCTATCTATATATATCTATAATATATAGTTTAAACCTCAGCATCCTTTCACATCAATTCATACAAGGAACGCTTGGCTGCGGAGGAAGCTAGTGAGACTGCCTTCAATGCTGTCCCAAGGTTACCGAAGGACCCTGCCAAATCAACCAATTGATTTGGCTCAAGCTGTGCAAAAGAAGTTTGCTGATCAAAGTTATCAGTCGCAGCTCTTTCTCTTTGCGCCTTGCGATTTGCTATTGGGTTGAGCTCCCTGCATCTTGTCACTGGCTCATCGGCATTTGCTTTGCTTTTTCTCGCTTGCACTTGCAGCTCCCTGGTTTTTGGTGCCTCTGGGTTGCAACCGTTCCCAGCGCTCGACGCGGAACGATCGTGTTTGTAGAGTTATTTGGCAGTAGCTAGTGTATGCCTGGTGAAACCCCCAAAGATCAACCAAAGACCCGTGGTAAGCGTGGCGGACAACGGGCAAGAAAGCAGGCAGCTCTTCACGAACGTTTTCTAAGATGGGAATTTATCCCGAAAGCGTTTGCCAAGGCAAAAGTTGCTCAAAGTGTTGTTGTTGAGGATAGTGGTTCTGCGGTTGACGTTTTTGAGTGGAATCGTGGGTATTCTGGCTCGGCTGTTGGCTTGACACCACCTCCAAGGGTTGCTGGTTCAGCCGGCGGTCATTCATCTTCATCCATTGCTGCTGTGCCCATTGCTCCATCGGTTCCATCCCCTGCTTTGCTCATCACACCATCGTCATCTGCTTCTGTGCCGTCTGTTCCTTTGCCATCCATTGCACTTGCGTCGCCATCATCGGGTTCATTCACTTCTCATCCACCACCAAAAGGTTTGGGTTCTGCTGTTTCAGTGACGCCCCCAAAAGCTCCTGTGACATCCCCAAAGAATCTCGTGGCTGAAAGTAACGGGCCTCCAAAAACCAAGGCGAGGTTGACTGAGGAAACAAGATTGGCTCCCCAGCCCGGTTTACCAAAAGTATTAGCTCCAGCTTTGGGATTGGGAGGATCAACTCTTCGAGTTTGCCTTGACTTTCACGGTGTGGTCGACGTTGAGCGTAGTGGTCAAGCAAGCTACCCTGGAATTAGGACCTCGGTTCAAAACTTCATTGCAGCGTTCTTGGAAGAATCCAACAGTCATCGCATTGGGATTTGTTCATATATTGGTTTAGGTGGTAGATTTTCGGGACAGCGGCGTCTCGACGCCCAGCGGCCGGTTCAACAACTCAATCAGTTCTTGACTTTGAAAAATTTGCCACCTGTTTGTCTGTGCATCACTGACCAAAAGGATAAGCCTGAACTCACCCGTGATTCAGTTTCAAGCCATTGCGACGATAAGTGGGAAGTGGTAAACACCTGTGAGAGACGGGGAGGATTTCTGGCAGTTTGGTTTAATAGGTACAACCAAGTCAACTTTCTGAGTGACTACTTTGACCTTGTCAAGCGAAACTGCGTGCCGCGTGTCTTCCCGCAAGCTTGGTGGCCGATCCCTTGATTCCTTGAGCCTAAGCTGCAATGAGCGGAGGTTCATCATCGCTGAATCTTTCATCATCATCAACTGGTGTTGTTGGTGTTTCGGGAGCCCCCGCAATAGCAGATGGAGGATCTACTGGTTCTAGGTCGTCATCGGTTCGATCAGTTCGAAGAACAATTCCAAAACAATCATCAAGACCCAATACTACCCTTGCACATTTGGGGAGTAGGAACAGATCGACTTCACGACCAATGGAAGAAGATTTACCTAGTGTTGAGGGACCCATGTATCAACAAGTGAACCAAACGTATGTTCCAACCTTTGAGCAAGAAACAAACTACCAGCAATTGAACCAAGTCTATGTAGCTTCAACACTTGATCATGAAGTTGTCAATCAAGCTGCTGCTGCAGTGATGAGAGCTCAGACTGAGGTTCACTCTGTTCAAACTGAGGCGCAGAGATATGTAGGAAATGCCAATGCTGAGGTCCAACAAGTCAGGACTGAGGCTCAACTTCTTGCTCAGGAAGCTCAATCGGAGATTCGTCAGGTCCAAACTGAGGCTCAACGAATCATCTCTCAGACTGAAGCTCGAGCTCAACAAGATGTGGCTTCTACGAAGGTTTCTGCAGCCCAAGCGCTTATGGAGCAAGACCAGAGGCTGCGAGCGGAGTTCAGGGTCCGGGAAAGGGCTTTGATGGAGGAGGTTCAAAAGTTGAAGGACACATTGGCATCTTCCAGACAAAATCTCAATAGAGAACAATTGAGACTCAATGGTACGGATTTGTCAGAAATTGAAGCAAAGATAACCCTTTTAATGGACAAAATGATTGGATTTCAAGAATCTTTGAGCAACCTTGAAACTCGTGTTGTTGCATTAGAAAACTGGGGTACAGACACAGTTGAAGAAATCACTACATTCGAGGAAGAAGAGGAGCTGGTGCCAGGAACAAACCAAGGGGCGCCTCCAATCATTACCTTTGAGCAAAACCAACCTCGAATTTCTTCACCTGTTCGTTCTGGTCATGTTAGAATGATTGCGCCAACTTTTCATGCTGGGGATGACGAAGACAACAACGTTCTTAATGATCCTCAGAGCCCAGAGGACTACCTTAGGTGGAAAGATGTTTCAAGTGTAAAAATGCCTGCGTTGCCGGATTCAGCAGGATCCTTCCGATCATGGAGGAACGCGTTTCTGCCAATGTTAATGGCTCTTGACAGTTCACCTGAGAACTTTCTGTACGTTTGGTTGTTGAGTGCGTTCAATGCCAGGTCAACCCAGGAAATTCAAGTATTGAAACAGGACAGCGAAGGATTCCCTCGCTTCGATCGTATCCTTTGTTCGTGGTTGACTAAGGACTTGAGAGGTCATTTTGGTGCTAGGATTCAATCCTATGTAGAGGAATGCATTGCCACCAATACGGCGTTGAGAGGACGACCGCTCCTGAATATGGTTGTTAGGGAATTTGACCTTGATGCCGCACTTGGAGGAGTTGTTTCGTCCGTCGAGCTGTTTCAGCTTGCTGCGCCTGAATCAGACTTAGCGTCACTAGTCCATTTCCGGGATAAGGTTCGCTATATTTTGGGGCAGTTGCCAATCCAAGACAGACCACAAGAAAATCTCATGTCCAAATGGTTGTACGAAAGATTGAAGCGTATCAGACAGCTCCAGTTGGTCATTGATCGAATAAAGGAATCCCCGATAGGAAGCAATGAACGGACGTTTGACTATTTGTGGAGTAGATTGGAACGGGTAATTGCAGAATCTCAGCATGAAAAGAATCTCACTTCAATTCAGGAAGGGTTGGAGAAAGGGCCAAAGAAATTGGGGGCACCTGGCACTTCCTCTGAATTCAAGACCCAGAAAGACAAAGACAAGAAAGGAAAAGGCGATGGAAAGGAGAAAAGTGAAGGAGGTAAAGGAGGTAAGAGTCAATCGAAGGGAAAAGGAATAGGAGGTAAGAGTCAAGGTAAAGCAAAGGATGGATCGAAAGGAAAGAAGAACACTGATGGCAAAAAGGATTCTGGCAACCGGAGTTCTGAACCGAAAGGGCCATCCTTGTTTTGGCCAAAAGGTCTTTGTCGAAGAGGTACCGATTGTCCTTATCGGCATGAAGGACCATCTGGATCGGCATTGGGATCTGCGGCAACGACGTCAACTTCGCCTCCAGCGAAGGCCGCTCCCCAAGCACTTGCTGCCAACAAAGTTCGCGCAGCAGTTGCACTTTGCTCGGTGGTTACTGCAGCTGCCGGCATTACCAATTCCCAAGACAACTCTTTTGCATTAGAGTGGGCGTTGGATTCAGGTGCGGGAGAGGATCTGTCATCAGTTGGAGCTTTTGAAAATCAAGGAATTTCCCCAACATGGATTCAGGAATATTCAACAGTGACTTCCAGTCCATTGACATTTGAAACAGGTGGGGCCAAAGCTTCTACCACAACTGTAGGGTTTGTAGGCAACAAGGCAGGAGAAGGCATGGCGTACATGCTGAAGAACTGTCCGTATGTTCGGAGTCTTGGAAAGTTGATCCAAAAGGGATTTAGTTTCTTTTGGGGACCAAACTACGAACCTACTCTTGTACCGCCGGATGTCCCATCCAAAGTGTCGTGTGATAAACTTCAGTGTCATGTTGCTGAACGGGTTGATCACTGTGTGCCCATTTTTAAAGAGACAATCTCTTTTACCCATGGAATGCCAGCCGCATCACCATCCGAAATTCCCATGAGCTTTCCTGCGCCCGACGCGGATGCTCCCAGCCATGATGTTGCGGTTGAAGGGCATGATTCTCCTGACATAGAATCCATGATTAGGGAAGCTGATGACACAGAATTGGTGAAACACTCCACGGGCCCAAAGGGAGTAGTTCCATCAGAGTTTAAGTCCAAAGACAGTCATGTTCCGATCCCAGTCCCTGAGGAAGATTCACTCAAAGTGGTTACTTCTCATTTGAAAATTCCTGTAGATCATCTACTTACTCATTTGCCGGCACATCCAGGTTGTGACGTTTGTAAGGAAGCCAAGCTTCGGGCCAAAGCCCACAAACGTTTTGCAAACCAGGGTTCGTCCATTCGTGAAATTCGAGCCATTGAAGCCCCAACTACGTTTCTTCAAAGAATTTGTGTTGATCATCTTGAGTCAGCTGAAAATGGTTGGAGAGATGAGAGGTATGCACTAGTTGTTGTAGATCAATTCACTGGTTCTTTGTTTGCTTACCCATCTAAATCCAAAAATCAAGCAGCCGTGGAACTGGCGTTGCGGCACTTTGTTGGCAACCGTGCCTCACCTGTGGTGATTTCAGATCGCTATCCAAGCATCTTGGCTGCCGTCAAGTCCATTGGGCTTGCATCTGACCCCACTCCACCAAACTCTCTTGTGAAGAATCCTTTGGCTGAAAGCGCAATCAACATCATTCGTCAGGGTACACGTGCATTGTGCGCACTGG